AATCTGTGATTTATCACGGCAACGGTGCCTATAGCTTCCCTACTGTACCTCTCACCCTTCCGGCTCTTAGTGGCCTCCAGAGACCATCGCTGGCATGTCTCATCGCCATCTTCTGGAGCCACCATCTCACCGTGACATCAGCACCCCCCTCCACCACCCCCTGAAAATATGAGAACCTCCAACCAGATCCAAAAAAAGACATTTGATTACGTGTCATCTTGTGCGACAGTGCACCCACGCTTCTCTCCAGGCGTCTCATCATGATCTCTCAGAGCACCGCGGAAACCAAAAGTGTCTGTGTCAGGTATGAATCACAAGGAGTGAAAAAAGAAAAGGAAAAAACCCAACAATATCAACAACAACAAGGAGAAAAAAAACTGTTAAGCATCACACTTTGGTCATCAGGGTTATAATTTCATGTTTACTGCTCTCATGCACTATCAGTTTCTTGCCATCTACATCATCAATATTTATACTGTCATCATCATCATCAGTATGCCGCTACTGTTGTGCCTCCAGCCAGAGCAGCCAGTCAGTGAGGCAGACAGAGGAAATGCCCCAGCCTGGCTCTGCAATGCTGTATTGAGCTCTTATGCTGTCACTGACCCGAAACAAACTCCCTCAAGACTCCGTGGCTAGATGCAGCCAAGCCGGCAGTGGCTGCGAAGCATGGTGGTCACTGAGGCCTGACCGCTTTCATTACCCAGTCACATTTAGTAATACTTAATCTAACCAGGAGAAGATAACATCGCTTCTCTTTGCCAAACTCAATATAGTGCTGACTGCTCTCTCTGGCCAGCTCATTTCAAACAGCATGAACCTCATCCTCTGCGACGACAAATGGACGAGCGGCCACTTTTGGCCATTTTATTAACATGTGATTGGAGATTTGGATAAGCTCTGCTAGTCAGCTCTCCTAGAGCGCGTTCACAAACTTGTGAGGATGGAGAGGAAAGTAATCGCCTTAGTCCAGTTTTCAGGCATCCCTTTCCACTTAGGATGAGAATATATTCCTCAAGGGAAATCTCACCATTTCTAATTATGTCAGTTCAGTGGATTATAGCATTCATTTTGTGTCATTAACCATTGCAATTCTTCCAGCTATTATTCAATAATTAATGGCCAGGCAGCCCCAATCCCCGAAGGGCCAACACCCAGGCCTGGACGGGAGACTCAATCAAACCAATCATGGCTAATTATATCCACTCCGCCATCATAGGCAGTTTAGCATTTCCGCTGCAGATGGGTTAGTGCTCATGCACTCCCAGCCCCCTTGGTTACCCCGATTCAAATTGTGCCATATCACGTGCTAAAACACAGTCTCACTCTCTGGGTTCAGGCATGATGTAAGCACGTGGTGATCGGCAGCAGCGTGTGATGTCTCGTTGTGCTGCATTATTAAGGGACAGCCTGAGGTTGCTCCCACAAATTTGAAGCCTCTCTTGGCTGATCAGCAACCCTCTCTTCACCTCTCAACCTGTGTACATCAGCAAATCGTGCAGCTATCAATCAGTGACACTCTTGCCCTATGAAGAGATCAGCGACCAGCTTGCTCTGATTAGAGCAGTTGTGGTGTCATGAATAATCTCCCTTCCTTGCTTTCTGCCTGCACACACAAGTAAGTGTATATGTTTAAACGCACACTCACACAGGCACCAAATTTAGGGCAACAGTTACTCTCTTTGCATTCTAATGTAGCAGCAGAGATGTCTCTTAGAATTAATGCAGTCCTTTGTCCTTTTACGTACAGTAAGGAGACGAGGAAAGGCAAACTTCACTCTAACCAGTTTGAAAGCCTCCTGGCTCCATTTGAGAGATGCACAAATTGTTGGCATTGGGCAGTATTGTAGGGAGTGGTCATGGACTCTCTTGCATCCTTTCCCACCTTATGTGTTTGTTTTGGGATGATTTGCTGTGATTTTTCCAGATCTCCTCTAGAAATAATCCATAACAGCTCCACAATTCCAACAGTGCTGGAGCGGTAGGGGGGCTAAGCATTATCTCAAAGTCACACTTTCCCTGTAGACCAGGTGTGCTGGTGTAATTTACCATGTCCCCGTTAACCTGCTTGCTTGTTTTCATCAAGCTCATTGGCCATGCATAAGTGGTGTGCCTGGGAAATTAAAGTGCAGCCTGGCCTGATTCGTCAGATGACCGAAATTTCTCAGCTGGTGCTTAATTTGTGACATAGGAAGGATTCAGCCTGAGGTTTTGAGGGACACATGCAGCTATGGGTCAAAATGAATAGCTGACAGTCAACAGCCTTGCAGAAAAGGTCAGGATATCTTTGTTGTTGTTGTTTTCCCTTCTGCAGTTGCTCAGCAGTGGAAGAATAATAAGTGCATTGGTTTTTGCAGCTTCCATACCAAAGATGATAAAATCTACCAAAAGGTTTCTTTTGTTCAACAACAATGAAGAGCTAGAAGCCACAAATAGAAAAGTCTAAATATGGAGCCTATAGGTGAAAACTCTTTAAAGGGGGAATAAGATGAATAAAACATTCTACTTGCATACCATTAACTAATCGGTGTTAACCTTTCCTTTTGAATCATGACATTGTTCAATTTTAATAACATGCATATTAGGTCAAGAGATGTCCTGACTTTGCACCTTCAGGCCTTAAAGGGATTGTTAACCAGAGTCCTGCTACTTTCAGACCTTTACTAATCCACTGGAGAATGTTCCTGAATTTTTCTTCCTAGGAACGAAGCTTTCAGGAATTCACATCCATAGAACCATAATCACAGATGCAGAATAAAATTACTTTCTTGTTTTCGTTATAGCAACTGTATTTTCATAAACGGCTTCCCATTAGTAACCTGGCCCACTTTAAATTCATTTTGGCTTAGGTAGCACTTTGACTTGGGGAGTGGGAACAAAGTTCAGGATGAACAAATTCCACTGACATTTTGGCCATTTTGCAGCAGTGAGATGTCCTGATATTTTAAAGCGCTGCCCTGAGCCAGAGGGCCTTGCCTTTAAATGTGATATCATGTGACAAGCCTCAAGCCTGGGGACTTGCAGGGACTGGTGCTGTTGCATGTTCATAATCAGCCATGAAGGAAGCATCACTTCCACACTAAAAGGCCACAACATTAGTGGACAAAATACACACTTTTACAGGCAACATAAAAACGTATCACCCTCTTAAAGTTTTACATCTGTAGGCCTATTTTGGATCTAATGGAATGAATATGCTGCAGGCTCATAAATGGTAGGTGTCACGGTCCTTCACTTGACGGTTGAACTAAGATGGTGTATAATTTAAACGTGGTGTAACAAGCAATAAATCTAATGTGGGTGCGCAGAATATAAAATGCAAGCAGCAAAACAGAAGTGCTAAATTGCCCAGTGGGGGATAACAGACAGTGGTGGATGAAGTACTCAGATTGTTTACTCAAGTAAAAGTAGCAATACCCCCATTGTACTCTGTTACAAGCAAAGGTCCTGCTTGTAGAAGTACAACAGTATTAGCATCAAAATATACTTCAGTCAACAAAATTAAAAGTACTCAATTCACATTAATGTGTTTTGGATTATAATTACTGGTGCATTCTTGTGTACATTACACTTAATGTTGCACCTCATAAGTTAATTCACCTCTGGGCAGCTTGTGAACTCCCCACCATTTGGATCAATAAAGATTGCACTGTAATATGGTTTACTAATCTGATTCTGAAAAGTAAGTTAAGTTTTCAAATAAATGCAGTAGAGCAAAAAGTACAATATTTTCCTCCGAAATGTAGTGAAGTTGAAGCAGGAAGTAGCAGAAAATGAAAATACGCATGTCCACATACCTCAAAATTGTACTTTTACTGGACTTCAGTAAATGTACTTTGTTAATTTCCACTTCTGATTTAAAAAATTAAATAAAATTGACACCATCCATCTTCCATTAATAGGTGGAACACAATGCCTTAAAGCCCTCCTCCAGAATGTCCTATCAATTCTTTTGTTCAAAAACAGAGATGGAGGGGGCTCTCAGTGCATCACCTCTGTCCCCCCAAATAAAGCCCATATACACAGCTCAACACCCTCCCTCCCTTGTCTAATCCTGCCCCAGTGCCCCACTTCACCTTCCAGCACCCCATTAATAACTTATTCTCTCTGTCATAAAACTCCAGAGATGATCCAGCTGGTCCAACAGTACAGTGCCAGAAATCTCCTGCCGCCAGTCCCAGCCCGTTCCCATTTCTCTGAAAAACTGCACATTAGCATTTAAATCTTCTCATAACCGTATCACTCTGTTGCAGATAGAGGCAGTAGATCTTCATTCATCCAGTCCTAATCTATCTGCTCCTTGTTCTCAGCCGGAGGAGCCCCAGGCTCTGACTCAGAGTTTAACCCGCCGCGCATAAGCCGCAAGGTGCCTGCGCATTTTTCCTCCAAATCTGGGGTCATCAGCAGGGGCCAACGAGGGTAACTGAACCACAACACACAAACACCATAAAGTGGTCCGATTAGGAAGGTTTAATTGAGTATAGTTGAGTGAAAGCTGCGCGTTAACCGGATCAAATATTAAGTCCTGCTACTGTGGATGCTTCCGTAATCGTCAAGGTTCGATTAACTTGTAGTGAGAAAAGCAAAATGTAAACACATAGACAAAACAAAAATTGAGAGTGTAAAAAAAAAGTTGGAATTGTCCATTTTGATCAAATCAGACACTGGAAATGTATTCACCCGCATTTTCTCTCGAGCGCCTTTCTTGTCATACATGTAATTCCTGGACAACAGCCACCTTACAGAGCCACGCAGTCACCGAGCAGGCCTGTGCCGGATTACCCAGGAGGGCACTTCATCATATCAGGTCATGAATGCGGATTTCAATTTCAGCGCAGGAGTAGTTTGTCGCGCGTGGAGCAAACTGTATAGATGCGCGCACTCAGACGCGAGCGCGCGCGCACACACACACACACACACACACACACACACACACGCGACAAACCTAATCAGAGCACATGAATCTGCATCTTGAATGTGTGAATGTCATCGAGACTTACCTTTTGTTTTACGGTGCCGTGGTCACGTCCTGAAACACATCGTGCTCCACACTGGCTGGTCGGTACTCCGAGAGCTCTTACCTTCCCTCTAATAACAGCATATTCCACTGCAGAGCCGCCGCCGCCGACGCTGTCTTCTTCTCCTCTTCCTCCACCTCCTCTCTCTGTATCTCTCTCTCTCTTTCTCTCGCCCACCCCCTTCTCTCTCTCTCTCTCTCTTTTCGATTGATTCACCCGTTCCAAGTGCTGCGCTGCCGCCACTGGCAGTGAGAATTGTCTCAGAAATCTTCAGGTGCATGGAAACACTGGCCGTCGGTGAGAGGATGGTGGGCTAGTGCTGCTGTTGTTGGGACACTGAATATGAAACTTTATATATTTATTTATTCAGCACTTACTTCTTATGCAAAAACAATGCGATCGATACTGTTGCAATCTGCAGACATCCCGCACGTTGCACACAAGACCCAGACAGTTCGTAGCAAAGGGTTAACCCAAAATGACATAATAAACAAAAGCCCCAAATGCAATAAAAATAGTCTCCCTAATTAGAATTATGAGCACTAGCTCGTCACTTTCTTTAATTATTGTGTATTTCATCCTCAGACGTGCCCATACGGTCATGTTAAAGGTATAATATGATGATGGTGGTGTTTACAGCTTGTTACAGGGCACATTTGCTGCTTGGCCGGTTGCCTTGGCAACGCTCAAGCACACACAGTGCTGAGCCCCACCTGTACAGCACTGCCTCACTGGATTTGAGCCCTGCCTACCACTGCAGCCCCCACCACATATCCCATATGGACAGAGATATTGATTGACATGCTGAGACTGAGGGGAGAGGGAGAGACCGAGCCTGCTTATTTAGCCAAAAGTAAATTTCTTCCTAAACAGAATGTGAGAAATTATAAGACTGATCCAAAGTGAGATCATTTTACCGGACGAGGTGTATTGACTACTTTCTATTTTGAGACTCTGAGGATTGCTCTTTCTCATATCCTTGTACCTCGGTGCCAGCTCTCCATCACTGTGGCACGTGTTCTCACACACACACTCGTCACACACGTGCTTTCCTTCCAGCTGTGTTCTACCTCTCTCACACACACAGAAGCGTGATTTAGATGGGGAACAAGGTAATGACTGACCCCTAAATGTTTAGTGTGGATGCAGCAACAGGGTGTCCAACCTGTTTCTCTCTTATTAAACATTGCACACTCCGACAATCCACGTGGCTTTGGTCGCCCTTTTCCACTTCATGCACAATATGTCTTCCCCCCACCCCTCTCCACACACACACATACACACACACAGCCCCACACTCCGCAGTGAGGGTCTGGCAGCATCCACAGCCCGTCCCAGTCCTCTGTAATTCCAACAACAACGGCTCTCGCTCGCTGCTTTTGCATTGCGTCGCTTCTTCCTCTTGCTCATCTCCCCTCCTCTGCTGCCTTCCTGCCTCCCTCCCTCTATTAAATTTCCAGTCACACAACAGTGCAGTGGATATCCCTCCCTCTCTCTAACTCTCACACACTCTTCACCGCCACTTCCCTCCCTCCCTCTCTCACATGCACACCTCAGTAGTAGTCTGTGGATGTGCTGTTGTCCTAGATCTCTCTCTCCCTGTCGCTGGCTCTTGATATTGACTGTTCTTTCCCTCCTTTATTTTGAACCTCTCAATCTCACTCACTTTTGATACAAGGCTGCTCTCTGTTCATCTCCAGTTGTCTAATCCCCTCCCTCCTTTCCCTCATTATTTAGCCCCCTCTCATTTCCTCCTCTTCCTCCCCAACCCACTGTTTGTATCTCTGTACTGCAGTGCCTGCTCTGGCTATATGGTGTGGAGTTTAACCTCCCCTCCTTTCTCCTTCACTGTGGTGGGTGTGCAGGGTTCACTCCACCAGGCCAGCCTTTAACTGACTGATTGAGTGGACACCACAGACCCATAAATGAATAAAGATGGGAGCCACTGTGAGGATTAATGTACTTATTCATATGAAGACAGAAAGCTTTTCGTCCAGTGTTTCTGCCTCTGAGCTGTGGATGAGGATGAGGATGATCTTTCCTCCTGTGCTCTGCCTTGTGTTGCTGTGTTATGCTGTGCTGGCATATTGGCTAAGAGAGGCACAAGCTTTCTCTTTGCCCTGGGTTATGTTCAGGTCTTAGGGCCTCAGCAGCAACTGCTGTGCTGGGGTGAAACCTCTGCCATCGCTGTGTTCTGCTGGAACAGCATGGTGAGAGGAAGTGCAGGCAGCTACACTGGTGGTGTTGAGAACATGCCAGTCGCCTTTCTCCTCCTGCCATATCTCCCCATTTTTTCCTCACATGCTATGTCACATCTGAACTCTCCACAGCCTCCAAGGCCCTAACTGAGCCCTGATCCATACTGGATGGCGAAACAGCCTGCCACCGGCTACAGAGATTCCAACCTGTGATACCAAATTGAACATTCAGGCTGTCGTGCCTAGCAAAAACAAAGATTAGATTCTCTGAAACACTGTTTTTTCACTCAAGAAGCTCTTTGAAAATGGAGCTAGCCAAGCTTGTATCGCCACCACTAAAGCCAACACTACTCTCTTATAAAAAACAGTCCTATCTGGCAACCACATCCATTAGGGCTGATAGTGTCACTGATCTTCCCACTCCCAGGCCAAGTGGACCTCAACCGCCAGGACCCCAAAAATAAATCCAATTTTAGGTGTTATATGCTCCTCCAACCGACACCCTCCTCCTCCTTGTCTCTCCATGTACGGGCTAAATTCATATACCTCCATAACCGTCACATCACATTCACTCTGTGCAGTGTGGAATAATAATAAGACTCTTTCCTGCTCCTCCATGGCTCGCTCCTGTCAACACCTCCTGCAGCAGGGTGTAAAACAAATTCTGCCCCTGGGCCTGTAAACCCCATTATGCTGAGCAGCACTTCTGATACAAGGCTGTGTAATCTTCATCTTTAGCCCATAGCCTCCTTGAACAGGCCCTTAAACTGGTCCACTACCTTCCCTCATGGTGCCAACAAGAACAAACAACGACCAAAATGCCACACAGCCAACATGTGGCAGGGGCATTTTAATATTAGAGCACAGTAGCTCAGACTCAAACCAGTCTGCAATAAACAGCAGTCAAACAGCTCAGGCTTTGGTCATATGTGTTCAGGGATGTAACAGGTGAGGTTAAGTGCTCTTAATGTGTTTAGGTGCAATTTTTATTACAAATGTTATACATTTATATGAGGTATGTTAAAGGATATATCCATACACAGATGCTTTATATTGAGATGTTTAGTTAGTAATCAACCTGCATTTGTTACATTTTTATCTTTATTTTGCGTGTTAAAGTATGCATTACCTAGTTAATAAGCTATACATATGTGACAGCCAATGGATGTCAAACTAACTTTCAAGCACTTTTGTCCGTTTTAAATTTGAAACCTGTGCACTAAATTTCTGTGCATTTTTTTTTCCAGGGGTTTGTTTATTTATTTAGCCATTGCCAGTGCTATCGCACAATGATTTAGCATTTTTCATTTATTGTTAAGTCAAGCCATTATGGTTCCATGGCTGGATATTTAAGTTTACTTGTACTACGCTATGTACTAACTAGACTTACTGCTTTGTGGTTGTGTGCTTCTGCCAACCAGTCAAACTCACAGGTATGGGAGAGAGGTGAGACCGGTGACCTTGACCTTTGAGCACTAAAATCCAGAAAGTTAATCTTTGAGTTCAAGTGAATATTTGTGAAAAATTTGAAGAAATTCCCTCAAGGTGTTCCTGACATCACATTCAGAAGAATCGGACAGACGGACTGACAACCTAAAAAATATAATGCCTCCAGCTGCGGCTATCGCTGGCACAGAGGCATAAAAATATAGTTGCAATTACTGTATATATGGAACACTGGGCATCACTTCATAGAATTTCTTTCACAAAAACCTACCTGGATCTTGTTGCATTCAGCTGTGGGGTGTAGGCATATACTGTATGTGGAGAGAACATTACCTATAGAAATAAAGATTTACAGCAGCAGAATGAGTTTCGGTCTACAGAGAATAAACTATTAGGTACTGTAGGTAAAATTGGTCGACAGAGACATTAGTCATACATTTACCAAAAACTGTTTGACCTTGCAATGTAGATGCACACATAATAAGCTTGGTTCCAACCTTGTTTTATTGCGGGAAGTCAGTGAAATGCATTGTACTTCTGTGAGTCTCGAAACATTTGTGCCTGACTGCTGCATAGTGAGCTGTGAAATATCTGATGTTCTCTGAGCAACAATAGCAATAACAAAGAACTAAATGTGGAATTGTCCTCGGGTTATCTGAGTACCCATTTTAGTTTGTGTTGGTCCAATATTTAGAAACATGCACTTTTCCTGCAGTCACACAAGGCCCTCAGACGAAAAGCCGAATTTGCAGCTCAACGTCATTTGAACCCATGAACCCTTTTCTCATAATTCGTTTTTTTGCTTTTCCAGAAATTTGAAGTTAAAATCTCATATTTATAAGAACACTTATAATCTTAATAAAGCCCAGCACTCATATGTTGTATCAATACAAAATCACTCATTAATCTTTGAGCTAATCTGGTCCCAGCTACACCTTCATGGTGTTTGTTATGGGCAAAAGAAAAGTAGCTCAAAATGTCACCTGGGTTCAGATCAGCACAGTCCTCCACAGATATCTGCTTCAAGGCTTTCTTGTGAGGGGTGGAACTTCCTGAATAGAACCGTGAAGTCTTCAGGCAGCACCCTCCACGTGATCACACCCACAAATTCCAAGAAGGCCAGCTACTTTGAGTTTTAAGCCTATACACAAACAAGCATCAGAGCCATCCTCCCAATAACATTATAGGCACTAACAGTGGAAAACTTGACTGCAACAATGCTCAGTCAAGGGTTTATTCCTACACCGGCCTGGTGCCAGCACCTCCATCTCTGTGGTCAGGAGGTATTCTGTGGGAAAACGACTTGTCCCCTCGGTGATGGGGGGACCAATAGGTGCCCAAAGTGAGGAAGTTCATACTGCTTACATATGATTAGGTCTTTTGGACTTGAGACTGTGAAAACACTGCAAAGTAGCACGGGAACACCTTGGCATCAACCAGAAGTCACCATCTAACATGGCTGAGGAGAGAGAAAATGGGTCAGCTCGATTAGCCTGCTGTTAGCACCGAAATCCTGACAGGCAATAGAAATGGATCCTCAAAATTTGAATAGCGTTATCACATAATTTGCATTTTTACAACACTATTAAGACACAACTACAAATCTGAAGGAGACAGTATGGAGGTAGAAACACTGCCTAAACAATGAGCTGTTGAGTTGCCAAAAACAGCCACCGTTGGTGAAGATAGTAATATCTCATCCTGTTGTAATTTCTCCAGATAGTCCTACGAGTGCCCAAAGTTGATCAGAAATAGCAGCTAGAAAGACTTTTTTTTAAATTTAGAGGCTGATTCTAAAACCACACATTAACTTCTCTGTTATCTATTCCCATTCTGACTAATGTATTTCAGTTTTTGTTCTCTTTATTTGGACAATACTGCAAAATGAACAAGACTCTTAACTTATTAATGCCCCACCTTATTCCCCGTGATTCCACATATTATGAAATACACGGTAGTCAGCTACAGTACATGTTGCCTGAGCCAGGGCTATGTGTGATGGCTGAGGGGGGAAGGGTCGATGATGCCACATGTTACTTCAGTGGCCCTGAAGGTGGTAAAGACTCCAGAGGTTAAATGCCTGGAAATATGCGCCAGTCAGAATGGAAGCTTCTCCACTGAGAGGTTCAACGTCTTCAAAAACTGCTAGCAAGACTCATTTCCTTCTGCAGCACTGTTAAATATAGCTAAAGTACAGTAACCTGACTGAATTCAGTGATTAACAAATATATGTCAAAGCACACATCCAATGAATGTTTTACTGAACTCTATATACTAAGACATAAAGCTTTCTGGTGTTTTAGAAAATCTCATTTTCTTCTTCTATATGCTAATGCTGTGTCAAGGTTCATACAAACCAAACTGGATTATGGTCCTTTAATAGAACCAGCAGTTACATTCATGAAGTATCTTTAAGTTACTGTGCATAAATAAAATGTGGGCGTACTGTCCACACACACAGTATCATCGTTATGACATCATGCATCAAAGTGGAGAAAAATAATGGAACTAAAATACTCCTTCCAGAGAGCAATATACAGTAAATAACTACAAGCTGATGAGGCGAATGTGGAAAAAACAAAATACTGCACATCTTAAAGTACGATTCATTTTAAGAATTGATTTTCTTTTAAATGATTATGGTGGATGTTTGCCAAATAACCATCATGACTGGGGGCCGGTTTAGTCACCATTTGTTTTACAGTTCATCATATGGATCTGTCAAACATTTCTGCTGTTAATAAAAATAAAAAAAAGATACTGAAAAACTCAGAGCTCAGACAGGCGCTAATAACTTGATACTGAGACAGAGGCAGATAGATGGAGATGGAGAGAGAGAATACCAGAGGAAGATAAAGTGAAGCTAAGCCGGGCTCCGAGGGCTGGCCAGTGATTAAGGGATGGGAGGGATGAACACCAGCCACTGAGGGACTAGTGTCTATCTGTGTGAGCCCATGTGAAAAGCGGGGCTGAGGAAAAACTCAGAAACAAGAACCCACTGTCATGGTATCTTAGCAACCGTCTCTGTCTCCCAGGTGACAGGGACTGACATCACTTCCTATTAGTGTGTATGTCTACACACAGCATCCAAGTGTTAAAAAAAAAAATGCATAAAGTGACATGTGAATGTGTAACAAAACGTATGAGGCTGAGCAAAGTTAACGTGCGCAGCTGGGTTGTGCTCTACGGCTTCAGCACCCATGTCACTATTAGGTAAATGACGAGTGCACAGAATTTAACTTGCATGCATCGTCGTGTGCATGTGGGGGCATGTTTCGAAAGCAGGCTCTAGGCATATATGCAAGTTCTGTACCATGTGCACATGCAGTCAGCCTCATTGTACGTTATGCCAAGGAAAGCACAGCCAACTAATGCCATCTGGTAGGACTACTTGGCACAAGGGGACCCTCTATGGTTCCATGACATATTGGTGTAGTTAAAATTAACATTGTGACACTATTTGGCAGAAAAAGACACTGAACTATCTATTTCAGTCTCTTTATCTCTCACCACAGAGGTCCAGGCTGAATTCACACTGGGGGGGGAGCAGAGACTTTGGTTGGCCCTCACAAGCACAACATCATGAGCATGCATCAAGAGCAGAACCTGCTCACAATGATAAACAGCTTCATACATTGAAAAAAGCAACACTTCATTTAAAAGAAAAAAAAAATACTATTTCAGATTTCGATAATAAAATGTAAAAATCTGTGGAGGAGTAGTATTCTCACATACAACATAAGTGACCGTTTCCACTTGCTCCATCCAGTATGTAGCATGGAGGATTAGCATGCTGTCAGTTTGACCATTTACATGAAAAACTAATGCTTGCATTGTCAGTTCCTAATTAACTTCAGCTGCTGAGTCCCATTAAAAAGAAAAGAAACTTGTCATGAGTCGTTCTTAATTATGTTGAACATTTGTAGCAATAAAGTAGCGGAGTGGATCTATGTGCCTGCACTGTCAATTGGCTGCTGAGATTCAGCTAAAAACCATGATTTCTGACTTCACAATGCTCAGTCAGATAAGGTCCATGAGGATTTCATCCTCCATGGCGCTGGAGACCTGGGGTATCCCAGGCTGGGGTACAGCTCCTCTCTGAGCTCCAGACATCAGCATCTGACCTGCACATAGGTTTGGAGGGGAGGGTTTGGAGAGGAAGTAGAAAGAGAGATTTAGAAGAGGGATCCTCTTTATATTTTGAACAATAATAAACATACACATAGATAATGTGGACTGGACATAGTTGTTAGTTTCTGGGAAAAAAGTTTGACTTCATTCACGTTTCTAAAATAAGCGCACATAAGCTTCATGCATTTCAGGCAAATTATGCCACTGTTGTAGAGAGCAAGGTTTAAAAAATGTGGAATATGTATATTGCGTGTGCACAACTTTTTATGACAAATTTAAATTTGGGCAGGTTGCACACTCGTATGGAATATCTATCTCGGGTATGAGGTAGTGTTAGATCAGCAGTGCAGTAAATGGGGTAAAAAGAACTTAAACTTTCAATTGCCCTTTTTGTCCATCTACCACTGATTGTCTTGAGCCAAAAAGGGTCAGCTGGTCGGTTTGTTGCAAAGTGTCTTTTTGAAGTTTTTTTTTTTAATTTCTTTTAAATATCATTTCCAGAACTATATACTAACATTTCCAGAACTATATACTAACATTCTGTCTACTTGAATCAAATGTTTCTGAACTCTTTCTACCTATAAAGGGCATGTCCGTACTGTTTTGAGATAGATGTGTAAAAAAAAATGCAGACATATCTTTTAAAAAATTTCATACTCGTTTTAAAAAGCTGCACAAACAACCCTCTTTTCCAAATAAATGAGTAAATGCTTGCTGACCGGTCAAGGGCTGCCTCCACTGGCCCTGCATTTGAGCCCCCCCTCCTGGTGTTGGGTGAACCAACTGCTGCCCTAAACCCTGGTGAGACATCATGCCCGGCATGTGAGACACACCACCTTGCTGCAAGAACCCAAAGAGAGAAGAGCCACGTTAACTTCTACAAAAACCCAAACATCTAGATCAGCAGTTACAGTCACTTGATAACCTATGACACACTTCAGGTCATTTGTTGCTCTCTTACAGGCTGCTGTTGGCTGAGGAGGAGACTGCGAAGCTGTGGATTTGCTCCAGGGTTCGGGAGGCGGAGTATGGGACCCTGAGGTGGGGCTTGTCCACTCTGTGTGACCTGGTTGGGTGGAGCGACGCTGACTGGTGGTTGCTGGTTGTTCGGCCCAGCTGCTCTCATTGTCATCTGAAGGAATGCCACATAATTTAAGCGGCCTAAAGGGACAGTCACATTACATTTCTACCTAATGAACATTCCCTCAGTTTCCCACACACATTTACCACCTTAACACTGATATTAGCAAAACTACTGTCTACAATGTTTCAGATGCCTGTGAGGACAAATAGGCTGTGAATCATCACGTTTTGATCAGGTCTTTCCTTTTTTGTAGCCTATTTGTGCCCAGCATCTCAATGCAAACAGTTCCTATTGATTACACTGTACAAACCAATACATGCATGTTACTAAAACATGTTTCCTTTCTGTGTCAATGCCATGCTTCAAGAAGAACATTCAACAGGGAGTGATAAAGTTCATGCTGACAGAAACTAGTTTATCCTCCAGCCTGATGCTGAGCAGTGGGATTGGAGTGACAGTGTTCATATAACATGGGATTCTTAACAATGTGACAAGGATGTCCACAAGCTGATTTTAATCTCATTTAAAATAAACTGAAACAGCTTACTCCTTATTTATGGTCATTTTGGACACTATATACATGGTCAAAATAAAAAAGGGCAGAGATGTTGAAAAATGCACACTGTACTGATAAATCTGTTGTGTGCGAATCTACATACTTGTTACTTGAATAGTGGTAGCAAATAAATAAATAAAAACATTAGCTTAACGATGACAGAATATTTTCAAGGTCTTAAAAATTCAGCTAAGTAGTCCTGAACACATGTTTCCTCTACGTTAAGAGGCTTCTGCATGTCTCACCATGTTGTTCTGCCTCTGCTGTTCCTCCATCACAGAGACCTGACTAACAGGGGGCATGCCCACCACCACAGACTGGACAACAGGACAGAACAGAGAGGAGAAAGCAGGTGGGGAAAAAAGAGGAGGACAGTGAAGGAAAGGGTTACCAGTAAGGCATGCAGAAATCAGCCAGCACAGGCGGAGTGACAGGGCAACAGATGTGATAACACAGGCAGACATGCCTGCCCAGAGTGGGTGATTTACCTGTGGCTGGACATTACCATGGGAGACAGGTATGGGGCCAGGTGGCCTGTTGAGGAAGTTTTGATTGGGGGGGACTTGACCAGGCTGCATTGGACCCCCAGCACCTCCCATCTGCTGCACAAAAAAGGTATAATTGTCAAAGTTCTAAATAATGGCAATATTTTATCACCTCACCACCTTCTTAAGTCTTACTCCTTGCCTCTGTGTTCATTACTACCTTTAAGAATGCCTAGCACAAATACCCTTTTTATTTTCATAACAATGACTGAGGCTAACTGCTTTGTTCTTCAGCAACACAACAATAACCAAAGAGAAGTGTCAAAATGAGTTGTTAGTGTACCCCACATCCTTATAGATTCAGACAAATGCACAGAATCGCAGACACAAAATGCACCATTAAGTAATAAAATAAATGAAACAGTTAAACAGGAGGAGGGCTTATCACACGTCAGCAGCTGGAGCTGCAGCAGCAGCTGTGACTCAGCTCACGAAAGCAATTAAGGTACTTTAAAAACTTTTATCATATTGCGTCAAAACACACTGCTGCATGTCAGATCTCATCTAAAACACACTGGCATGATACATATATTTTTATATTTAGTCTAACTTACACTTTCTGGGGATATATGTCATGCCCTTTGCAAATCAACATCCATAAATGCACTTAGAAATCATTCAAAAAGCTGCTTTCAACTCCAGAACTTCATCATATTTTCAGTATTAGAGGCAATTTTCTGTGTAAACTACAAACAAGAACTGCTAACAGCCAATTTGGCATACTTTCAATGCTACCAATCTGTCAAAATGTAGACATATATATACACACATATAAATAAAACTGGCCTCAGGTTTCAGCCCACCACTAACTTATCAGCTCCATGGAAATGGTAGTTCTAATACTAAGAGCAAGATTATAGTGCAAATTCAAGTAATGTCATCAACTGTGCAAAGTCCTTCTTTGTGTTACTGTTCCTCTGCTGCAAAATTTTAGAACGGGCACTCACTGACACTAAATGACTAAAATCACATTCAATTTCTTATTTTGACAATTTATTTAGAAGTAGTTACTATACTATACTCTGATATACAGTATGCCACGGTGGCGGCGTTAGCTTTTCATCAAGTTCTATTTCTAGTGTGATTTTCAGGGTTTTTGGATTTCTTCTTTTCCCAGTTTTTATGACTAGTGTCTACTGGGAAATTTATTAGAACCATTATAAGAAAGACATCCATGAGTCACACCTGAGCAGAGTATTGCCCTCAGAAATATAATGAGTTTGACGTGGCATGGTAGGGTTTACAGTGATCTGAGTCAACTCAAAAAACAAAAATAAAACTAATGGTTCAAACAAAAAATAATAAGAACCTAATAATAATGATGATGACAGCATTTTCAGAATAGGTGTGGTGCAAATCAGAATGTTTTGTGCTCTATCCAATCTGTCATCCACATGCTTCCATGAAACACTGTCAAAGAAAGCACAAGAAGCATGAAAGACTAACGTGGGAAGACATCTAATGCATCTTGCTCAGACTGCTGAAGCCTTATATTAACTTGAGCTGAACTTTAGAATGTTTTTGAAATGAACAATGTGAATTTGTCCCGTATCAGTTACATTCAAATTGTCTTAAGAATGGTTCTCTGTGGTCACTATTGCCTGCTGGAAGAACCCTTTCAATGGATAAAAGGGCATGTCTGTATAGTTTTAAGATAGGTTTGAAAAAAATGTGGACATATCCTTTAAAAATTCATATGCATTTTAAAAAGCTGAACAAACAACCCTCCTATCCAAATAAATGAAGAACTCTTCAAAGTCTGATATTTGGCTTTACCTCCCAGCAGAGTCTGGAAACACACCTGTAAGGCTCTGATTACTCAGCAGCGTAACTCTTAAAACTCTGAAGATTCACTCACTCTGTTTCACATTTTATTTGCACAGTTCTGTACTTAAAAATGAATCGGACAAGACAGAAAATGGCAATGTGAAACGACTGATAACTGCTTAAAAAGGCAGAATTCAAAACTGGCAGTCGTGCTCCTGAGTAAGCTGTGCTCTGCAGGTGCTTTGGTGTTTCAACAGTGAGGGAGAGACAAGGAGGAATGAAGGGTGTTTCACCCCTCCCCTAAGTAC